TGTGTCACACAATTTTTTTTATATTCTCATATGAGTGCACTTACTGAATGTACTCATAAGCTTATAATGAGCAAACTCACTTCTGTGTCACACAATTTTTTTTATATTCTCATATGAGTGCACTTACTGAATGTACTCTTGAGCATATAATGAGCAAACTCACTTCTGTGTCACACAATTTTTTTTATATTCTCATATGAGTGCACTTACTGAATGTACTCATGAGCTTATAATGAGCAAACTCACTTCTGTGTCACACAATTTTTTTTATATTCTCATATGAGTGCACTTACTGAATGTACTCTTGAGCATATAATGAGCAAACTCACTTCTGTGTCACACAATTTTTTTTATATTCTCATATGAGTGCACTTACTGAATGTACTCATGAGCTTATAATGAGCAAACTCACTTCTGTGTCACACAATTTTTTTTATATTCTCATATGAGTGCACTTACTGAATGTACTCATGAGCTTATAATGAGCAAACTCACTTCTGTGTCACACAATTTTTTTTATATTCTCATATGAGTGCACTTACTGAATGTACTCTTGAGCATATAATGAGCAAACTCACTTCTGTGTCACACAATTTTTTTTATATTCTCATATGAGTGCACTTACTGAGTTTATTCAAGAGCAATTTGTGTACCTTTTTTAAAAAAATGTCAGCTTAATCGAAAACGTTAAAATCAAAGGGCGAAGTCGACTCGAAATTTGTATGAAGTCGAGTGAACTCAAGTCGACTTTTCCATACAAAATTCGAGTCGACTTCGCCCTCTGGTTAAAATAATGATTTTTTAAGGAAGCCGACGTTTTTTAAAAATGTCAGCTAAATCGAAAACGTAAAAATTGGTGCTCAATAAGATCCAAACTTCAAAGAACTTAGTTCGCCTGTAAAAATATAATAATTTAACTATGTGTTATGCCATATATAAATTATTATATATTTACAGACAATAGCTCCAAGGAAAAGTGTGAGATGACAGAAGTTAAGCAACGCAGAAGACATTTCAACAAGGATGGGTGACCAGATTTATATGTTTCAATTCTAAGGATTTGGGATAAAATATTAATAATTTCTAACTCTTTCAAAATTATTTACAGAAATAAACGGAACAGTACTTAATTTCAGCTATCCTATAATACTCAAATTTAGCTTAATTAATTTTTTGAATTTTGCAACTTCACTTGAGTGCACTCATGAGTGTGCTCAGATGAGCATATACTCATAAATATACTCACTAAGTATATATTCTTTGAGTACATTTATGAGTATGTACTCTTTGAGAATATTTATAAGTATGTACTTTTTGAGAATGTTCATGAGTATATTCAATAAAAATGTTGCATGAGAAAAATGTTGCATGTGACATGTTACCTTCTCATTTGAGTATGCTCATGAGTTTACTCAATGAGCTTAATACATGTCACATAGGAATGTGCTCACTGAGCATGCTCAAGAAGGTACCGTAAGCGCATCACTGAAATGTATGAAAATGAGCACATTCTCACAAAGGCTAATAGGCTCACAAATAATGTGCTCTGAGCATGCTCATTGTATGTTCGGGTCTCATATCTTGCATCTCTTAAAAATTTAAATCTGTGCCCCTGCATGTATCCTCTTGTTTAACAGACATTTAACAGATGCAACAAATTATGATACATCCAAAAAAATACTAGAATCTTAAATTCATCACTTAACAACTCAATCTAGACTCCTTAATCCTCCTGAAAGTGAACTTTTTACCTCAAATAAATCAATAAACCAAAAAAAAATTTACAACTTCATCTAATATTCAAATTATGCAGTTCCATCAACAACCTCATCCAGCACAAAGCAGCAGCATCATCTCCATCAACACCAAAGAAACTTTTCAATCAATCTTTCAGTAAAAAAACTTTTCTTTCATGATGTCTGTCATGATTTTCAATTTTTTAGTCTTCTTCACTTTTTCTCACATCCACAAAATAATTTTTTTTTTGTTCACAAGCAAATAACAATTTGTCTTGGATGCGGCAATATTTTTGCATGTCTGATGTGAAATTTAAGATCGAGACAGAAAAGTTTTTGAGGTGTTGATGAGCAATAAAAATAAAATTTTTCCAATATTCAGCATTATAAAAAAAATCCTAAGAGCATTCCGATGTTCTTCAAACTTATGCTTATGACTTTTGCTAATAAAAAATGCGTAAGCAAAACTCCCAAAACTCAAATTTATGTGAATTGGCAAAAAAGAAAGTTTCTCGTATCCTCCCTCATTGGAAATAGCAATGCAAAGTCAAAAAATATATTTTATGACAGCAAATTGGCACCTTCCGAGATTCTACTTAATATAAAGTTTTGTAAAATATTGCCGTAACTTCTTCCTTTTGTTCCTCTTTTTTTAAGGCAAAGTAAGGTGAAAAGTTTGTATTGGAAAATATTGTGAAATACAAATTTAGTGAAAAAGAATTTCATTGTTGAGGGTAAAAAGGAGGTGGCAAAGTGACAGTGTCAATGGATATAATAATTAATTAAATTAAGAGATAAAAGCTCGGATTTAAATAAAAATAGGAATTAAGTTTTTTGTAGATTAAATGGGATGAAAAGTTAATTTGCTTTTTTGCAGTTTTCTGTGTCAAAAGACATTCGATGCGCATAATGTGTTATTTTTGATGCCTAGTGTGCGCATTATATATGAATTTTTATATATAATGCGTATTAGATGTGAAATTTGGCGTATAGAGCGTATTAGATATTATGTTAAATGTATAGTGCGCGCATTATGTGACAACTTTATCGTAAAATATACGTATTATGTGCAAATTTGCAATTTAATTTTGATTGTTTGTATATAGTGCGCATATTCATTTCATGTATATAATGCGTGCTTTATTTGTACATTGTTCTCAAATATATGAGCATTATTTATAAAACTTCAATTAAATGTGCGCATTATGTGGGGAAAAATAATTAACAGTCCTGGTTAAGAATGATTTTCTATTTGCTTTTTGATTCCTTAACTTAATTATTAAACAAATCATTAATTCAAATAAACGAAAGAATTTAATAAAAGCGTGTAAAGTTCCTTTGCTAATTTCATAAATTCATCTTGTCGATCTGAAAAGGATTTAGCATCTCAATTTCAATAATCATCATTTACTTGTGCATTGATAGATTCCTCATTTTATATATTTTACGTAACAACAGCACCAGCAGCAACATTTTAAGATGAAAAACTCAATGAATGCCTTTCATACTTAACAATTATGTCACGTTTCGATTATCACGTTCCATTTTATGTATATTTATATCCATTTCTTTTCTATTTCTGAGTGACTTTTTCTTTCTCATTCTGTCTCTATAAAGAATGTATTTATCATCGTGCAAGAAGAAATTTTTTTTTTCGAAAAAGTCCTCATGAAGTCATGACAACAACAAATCCGTTTCATGTCATATACTCTGAATGGATTTATTGAATTAAGTGCTGCATGCCATATTTTACGATTAGATGAATATAAATAGAATGAAATGAAAAAAGGAGAGAAGGAGATAAATGGAAGATTAGATATGAATTCAGAAAGAAATAAATATGTATTGTAGGAACATTAAACAAATGATGGAGTAAGTGAGGTTATAAGAAGTGACAAATTATGTTGGGAAGAGTTTTTTGGTCAATAAAAAGGGGACAGTGGTCTGGATTTCCACAAACAGTTTCAACGTCGATGTAATAGAAACGCTCAGGAATTCTTGAAGCTTTTGACCCGTTTTGAGTAGAATTTGTCATTAATTTGACAATTTAGTCTGTAACTGCCATTAAAAATTTGAATTATCAAACTTAGAGCTAACTTCAGTTTGTTGAAAATTTGAAAAAAAAAATTAGGATAGAAGAATAACTGATCAGCAGAGTTGCAATCTGTCATAGGTCAACGACAACTGTTACAGGTCGCCACCTGTTTGACAGGTCACCTGTTAACAGGCCACATGTTGACAGATCTGTCAAAGGTGGCTTGTTATCAGGTGACCTGTGAAACAGGTGGCATTCGTGATAGGTGATCTTTTGATCACCTAAGCCTGAGACAGGTACCTGTCGTCGTAACTCTGATAAAAAGTAAGTTTGTTGACGTAATGAAGGAACCAAATATCCATGGCACATCTAGTAAAACTGCAGAATCACCAACAGTCAGTAACTTTATCCTCCTCAAAACTTTTTCAAAATTCAATTAATTTTTCAATCATCTCAAAAATTAATCACCTCGAATTTTAACAAACAACAAACAATTCACCTACAAAACGTCTTTCGTGTCACAAAAAACAACAAGTCAACTCTCGAAACTTTACCCGTGCATACAAAGAAGCAAGAAGCAAGATGGTAAAAAATCACAGTCAGTGACTGAAAAACGAAAAAGTAATTTAACTTTTGCAAAATTTTCTAAATCAAAAACTTTTACTTACTACTCACATCCATATTCTCTTACTTATTTCCATTAACATTTTACACACAGCTATGCTGATGCAAAAGAAATGAAAAGTTTCCTTGTGTTTTAAATACCGGAAGGGATTCTTGACGATACTTTTGGAAGTAAAATCGTTTTTTGGATGAATTTAAATTTAATTTTGTTTTTCGACATGAGAAAAACTAGTTTTCATGAAAACCGACAGGTATGGAAATGGAAATGAAATTTAAGTTTTTTTGGAGATGAAAAAGTTTTTGCGATGAATTAATTAAAATGCAAGAAATTTCAATAAAAACTTTTCGAAGAACGATTCAAAAATTAAATTGATGATTTAAACAATTTTGGATGAGTTTTGATGGGATTTGGGTGGAAATTGATAGTCAGCAATTTTGTAGGCATCAATCAAGTGATTGAGCATTTGGGAATTAGATTTGATCAATTGAAAATAAAGGATAATGAAATGACATGCTTGATTTAGTTTAGATTTGATCCTTTTAAGTTTCTTTCATGTATCTAGAATTTTTTATAGAGTTGGAGATAAGGAGGCAGTAAGAAGCAGAAATATTTTTTGAAATCGCTTTTATTTCAAGTCAAATGCGAGCTTTCGACCATCTGTTCACTTTATTGCCTCATAAATGCCTTAACGTTGATCAATTGCTTTGGTTTTAGATTGTTTTAAGCTACTTTTAGTAGCAAACACGTGTTAATTCTAATTTCTATTAAAAAGCTATTTTCTCGTATATTTGTCAATTTAAGACTAAACAATTAATTTTGATAAATTGGAGCTAACTTTTTAAATCAATATCATTCAAATTGATGTTAAATAATGCCTTAAAAACGAAATAAACTTCAAAAAAAATTTTGAGGTGAGCAAAAAAAAAATAGGTCCACCATTTTGAAAACGTTATATTTTTTTAAAATTAATTATAATTTTATTGCATTTGTTCAATGTCTATCACTTGGGTGCCATTTTTCGCTCTCTCAACTCCTAAATACTTAAAGTTCGTCACTTCCTTTTACAAAGCCATTCGAAAACTCGCAAACCAACCAAGCAGCACCATGACACTCAACCCCAAATCCATAAAATTGTCTATCAGCTGAAAAATGTCGTGTATACATCAAACAAGGTCCTGTATGTCTTCCTACAAACGATAAAATCTGTACCCAATGAATAAAGTTGGGCAACAACTTTCGTTCAGGATTAAAGCTGTACCAATTGTTGCAGTCATCATCAACACGACCATTAATCCATAAGAAGCTTCGTGGATCATTTCCCATTAGCTCCCTAAGTGAATTTTGGAATTGAAATTGAGTATATGGATCGTCGATTGTAAACAGTTCCATTCCATTATTTCTGCACATTTGTTCTGCTGGATCATAGTTAAGCATCTTATCAACTATGCATAATGACTTAAGAAACCTTCCATTGTTGAATAAATCAGCTTGTTTCCAACAAACTGTTAAATTCGGTCCAGGGCCAATTGGAGGTAAAATTGTTGTTGTTGTTCTGTCTCCTGGATTATCAGGATTTACGACTGTTCGATTATCACAAACAACTTTGTCCCAATGAGTACACCAGCCATAACGGACATCAAACCATAATCCAGGTGCACATTCTCGTTGGATTGGTCTACCCAAATGGCAGAGGTAGTAACTGTTGATGAAGTTATGAAGAATTAGAATCTATTTCGGCTGTGAAAATAAGACTTACACTGCACAATCATAAGAGTTTGGTAGAAATGTCAAATTAGTGTCATTTGGTGGACACAAATAATTCACATGACATCGTGCTAAGTCAGGAGCCATGCATCTCAATTCTGTTGGACTAAAGTGTAAGTTTGTTGCACAACTCAAAATATGTTGTTCTCCCAATGCACAAATAATAAAAGATTCACAATCGTGTGGATGTGGAAAGAACTCAACATTGACTGGATCACACACCGGAAATTGAGCTTCTGTGATTGTAAAGAAGCTTAAAAATGTAAGAATTAATTTCATTCTGTTGTTCATGTCTTCACTATTTATTATTGACTGATTTGTTGAAAGCATCGTAGCTTGTGACCTTGAGATTAGCAGGATAAGATACTGCAATCTTATCTTTATCTTGTAATCCTGATGGAATAGATTAATAGATTCAGTCGTTGATATTCTGTGCAAAAAATTACTTATGAGGTCATTTTAATGCAGGTAGAAAGAATTACTTCTAGATATGTCATGAGTAAATAGGATGTGTATCTTGTTCTGGTGTTAGACCTACTATACATCATACAATGCATGCTCTACAATTTGACTGTAAAAATTACTGAGTTCGAATAGAGAACTAGGCATTAAATGGGAAACCCTCACCTAGGACTTATAGACAGTACTATGGGGAAATAATGAAATTTTACAGTGTATATGGTAGAGGAGGGTTAGCTTTAGACTGGCCCGATGGGTTAGCCATCAGTTGACTCAACAACTTAGAACTGCTTTTTAGCTAGAATATTAATTGTTCTTTTGTTATAAAATCCGCACTGAATTCACACATTAAATTAAAAACTACAATTTTTTTTTACCAAACGCTTTATTTCCCTTCCCGTGTGCCTACATAAGTACACCTTTTCAAATTTAAAACATTATCACAAATATCTTCACTCGTTATGGAATGAAAAATTCGCAAGCCATCCAAGATGAAGATGCACAATCAACTCCCATTGCAAAATAGTCATCAGTAAATTGCTGTGTGTATCTCAAACAAGGTCCTGTATGTCGTCCTACAAAATCTCGTTGTTGAACCCAATGAATGAAATTAGGCAGTAAATGAGGTTGTGGATTGAAGCTATACCAATTTTCACAATTATCATAAACACGTCCATTAATCCAAATAAAACCACGAGGATGATCACTCAACATCTGTCCTACTGTCGTTTGGAACTGAAATTGTGTATTTGGTTCGTCAATTATAAATAGTTGCATATTATTGGTTCTACATCTTTGTTCTGCTTGGGTATAATTGACAGACTCATTAATAATGCAGACAGATTTTAAATAGTTTCCATTATTGAATAAATCAGCTTGTCGCCAACAACTTGGTAAAGGCGATGGTGTTGTTGTTGTTCCACTAGGATTTCCTGGATTTACAGCTGTTCGATTATCACAAACGACATCATTTCCGGATATACACCAATCGTTCCGAACATCCCACCATAATCCAGGTGCACATTCTCGTCGAATTGGTGTGCCACGAGAGCAGATATAGTAACTGTAAATAAATTAATAGCTAGTAAAGTTACAACCTTAAATGCAAACCAACTCACACTGCACAATCGTATGGATCAGGCAAAAACACAGGATTATTAATATCATCAACTGGTGGACACAAATAATTCACATGACACCTTGCATCTGAAGGAGGCATACATCTTAATTCTGTAGGACTAAAATGAAATCCTGGTGCACAAGGGAATGTATTTCGAATCCCATGAAAGCAAATAAAGTAAGATTCACAGTCATGTGGATGTGCGAACCATTCAATTGTGTCTGGATTGCAGCTAGGAAATTGAGCTTCAGCCAGTGCAAAGAAGCTCAGAAATACAAGAAATATTTTCACTTTCGTGTCCATCTTTATGGATTTACTGTTGACAAACGACTGAATATTTATAAATTAAATTACGAACTTTAGATATCAAGAAATAGCTGTTATCTTATCCAAAAAATCCTTTTACCGGGAAAAGGTTGATAAAAAGCTATCATGTGAATAAATTTATTGACAAAAACAGTTGCGTTAATAAATAATCTTGTGAGGAAAAGTATTGACATTGATAATCGCATAAATTCATTTCCGATTTTGCAGTGCTTATGGACAGAAAAGCTATAAAGATAACTTTATTTTCTATGGAGTTAAAATTTAACGGATATAAATCGTTATGTAAGTGGATATTTTTACTATAATTGCAATCAAAATAATTATTGCAGCAAGGGCAGTCAAAATTATACGAAGATCAATGACAAATGTTGAAGATTCTTTAAGTTCTAATTTGGTTTTCTTTCTTCGTAATTTAGTTCTATTATTTAAAGTAGAACTCTCTCCACATTTTAGGAAAGAAGTAAGATTTTCTTGGATTTCTGGTCTAAACTTAGTAACAGTTATTCTAGTTGAACCAGCTACAGCTCGCTGCTTCAACGAATTCTGAATCTTTTGTGTTTTAAAGTCTTCCGTTATTGTCAATTCTTGAAGGTTCAAATCTGTTTCAATAATTCCATTATCTTCCTTAAGCTGTTGTTCCTTGAATGATCTATTTGCATCTTCAATCTCATTGATAATTGGTCCATCAGCTTTATTAAAGGCATCGACTTTGTCATTTACTAAAGTTTGATGACTGATTAAGTTAAATTTTTCATAAGTGGAACTAGTTTCAAGTACATTGGATGACACATCAACCAATTCATTATCAACACGTGTATGTGAATCATTGAATTTATTATGGTTTTGTGATTCTTCATTTACAGAAGTAGCTTCATCTTCCATGCTGGCGATTACCTTCGAAACCAAAGTGTTCAACTGCTCAAGACTCTGATCCATTATATTGCTGGAAGAACCGTGCGATATTGTTGAATTCTTTTTTGTAGTTAAAGAGTTCAAGGTTGGTTTTAATGATGCTTCAAAAGTTACATCACTAAGGCTAGATAGGAGTGCATTTGAGGAATTGTTAAATTGCAATAGATCTAATTGATTAAGGTCCGTATCAATTACAGAATCTTGAGCATCAAGTAATAAGTCATAATCAATCTTCACCAATAAAGGAACTGTTTCATCAGATCCTACAACTTCTATGTTTTCTGTTGAATTTGAAAGACATGAATGATCATTTTGGAATTTTGAACCAGTTTGTTGCAATTCTATTAATCCATTGGCAATGCTTATGTCTTCTTTTGTATCACCAAGTGATTCATTAGGTAAAAAGTCCTTCATTTGAAAATCTTCTTCGTCCAGTTCTCCGTCTTTTGAATCCCTTTTAGTTCCAGCAAAACTTTCAAATGAGCTTCTTGATTGTGTGTTGAAACTAGACAGCATTCCATTAAAAGCTAATCCAGTTAAGTTTACAGCTCCCATTAGTTTTTGATTGAATGTTTCTGAAACTTGTGACTGAATGTTATGGCTTTGTTCTAACTGAACTTCTATTTGTTGCTTTGTATTTTGTTGCTTGATCTTTTCTTGTAAATCTGAATTTGATTTCTCCATTCCTGATTTCTTTTCTAGTTGTTTAACTGCTTGATCTTCCTTGAGTTTTGTGTCCTTAGAACCACTTTTCATTAAGTTAGGTTTCTTGTTATGAGAATCAGCAATTTTAACTTCTATCTGTCTAGTAACGGATGTACTTACTTCTGCTGTTGTGGATAATGCCATTTTTCCAGCTGTATTAAGTATTAGCTTTTGTGGATTGACTGTTCCATTTTGTACAAGTTGAACACCAACATCAGTCACAGCAGCTGAACTTCCTTGAACAGCAATTCTCGTTGCCGCTTTTCCTATTTCATTTGTGATAGGTTTTGTCACTCCATTAGCAATTTGTGAAGATGCACCACCAATAGTTCCTACAGCCGCACCAACCATTGCTGAATGTGTAACAGATTTGAATGTGACTTCCTCGCCTTGCATGGCTTTAGCTCCTTCAGATAAAACACCTGTGACAGCACCAACACTTGATCCAGCTACAATTCTAACACCAATTTGTACAACAGTTGATGCTCCTTTTGAAACTATTGATCCTATAGCACCGATTGGTCCCGTAATTGCTCCTATTGTTGCACCAATTGCAACTTCTTTTGCTGATTCTTTAAGTGTAACGCATTCTTTTGACATGTATTTTTGAATCGGTGAAAAAACAAGTGAAGTTCCACTTCCAGCTATAGCCGCACCAGCTATTAAAGCAGCCATGCCTCCGGTAACAACTGTAAGGCCGATTCCAGCTAAGAAAGGTAAAATTTGGTATTAAAGGCATACATTCTGAAATGAATAAAATAAACCTGCAGCTACAGCTACGCCAGTTCCAATAGATAATGCAGAAGATAATACAGCCTCATTACGAGTTATCCTACAAATGCATGTGCACTTGATGCCTTCTTGTTCTCCTACACATTTATCACAGTTTTCATATTTGCATTCACATTCATTTTTCTCGCAAGCAGAACATTTCATTTTTAATAATCAATTGTGCCTGATAAAGTTGCTTAAGTTAAGTATATTGTTATTTAACTGCGTAAATTTAAGTTTTCGTCTAGAAATTTATTTTTTTTATTAAATTATACTTTCAAATTTTAAAACCTCCAGAGTTTGAACAAGCCTGACTTATTTGATCAATTTCAATTGAAATTCATTAAATATTTAAATTTTCCAATTTCTTCAACAGCATCTTTTATAGCCTGTGTTCACTTGTTCAATTGAAGAAAGTATTTAAAGTATTACTGCAAAAACCTCAATCCGTTGTTATCTTTTAGAAACCTAAGAAATAAAAAACTTAATTCAATTCACTTTTTCTTCAGTCTGATAAATAGAAAATAAAAAGAATTGATAAGAAAAAGGCGCTTTAACTTCTCAATTTAGTACTTTATGTTATCTCTTCAAGATAAGATAGCATAATAAAAAATATGTGTCATTTTGCTGATTGCCGATTGGATTTTTAAAACCAAAAACAAACAAAATTGTTTACAAACAATTAAGGCAAGAAGCCAATGGATTTTAAACAAATCATTTTTCTGATGCAATTTCTTACAATTTAAAAATTAAGTTCAATTAATTCAGATCGTTGCAAACTTAACAATTCAGTTTCTAGATTTGATTTTCTTCAAAGATCTCATATGTTATATGCAAAATGTCTTAGTATAACTTACATTTTAGAACCTTAACGATAATTTCTTACTTAATTGTTTTCAGAAACAAACCATTCCAAGAATAACATCTCTTTTTTGGTTTGGAACCTCCATTAATACAGCTTTTATTTTCTCAACAAAATTAAATTGTATTTAATTCTCATTGTTGCCATAAGCAAATAATAAAAAGAAAGGTGAGATATAAACAGTCATTGAAATCAACACGGAAGAAAAAAGGCATGAAAAGGAACTTCTAACACATTATGAGTGTTTTTTTGTGGATTGAATAAAATTTACATTATTTTATGTAAACGGCTGTTTTTTCTGGTATTTTCACCCACCAACATGCGGTTTACTGGAATAGAAATTATTTTCATACAAGAGACTTTACTTCCAAAATGATAAAATAACATCATGAATAACTTATCATAAATAACTTGAAGGAAGTGAATTATTTACAATGTGGTTGAATTTAAAGGCGCATTTTTGGTGTGATGACAATCCTCTGGATGTAGCTTTTAGGTCTAAAAGGTGCCCTGCAATCTCAAGACTAAACTGTGTATAAGAAACTATTTTAAACAAACTTAGTGAAACAAAGGCAGTCAAACAAAGCCAACTAATATGCTGCATTATGATGCTAAAGCCTTATAACATCATCCTCCTTCAATATGTTCTCATCCTCATTCCCAGAAAATTTTAAATTCCTCACAAAAAAGTCCGTAGCAGTACCGAAACATTGAATACAAAATAATGAAATAAACGAGAAGAAAAAGTGCCAGCACAAAAAAAAACACGCACAGAAGAGGCAACAAAAAAAGATTTCCAACCACTAACTTGTTGAATTTTCCTTTCGACACAATACAATACACTCCAACTTCAATGTGTATAGTCAGTCGGCAGAAAGAAAGAAAGAAATGAAAAAGGAGAGGAGAGAAAAACTCGAGGAGCAGCAGCAAAGAGGAAAAAGGCATTTAAATAATAGCACAAAATCCATTTGTTTGTGAGATTACAGGGGCGTAGTCGGGAAGATTGAGGCTGTTTCAATATTTTGTAATTTTTTTTTTGATTCTGTAAGAATTTATAAATATAAAAAAAGGCACTTTACAGGGTCCAAACCCCTCGAACCCTCCCTGGCTTGTGAGATAAAAAACTTCTTCTCTTTGCATAATTTTTCATTATATTCATTCCATTGCTTACCGCTGTTGTTTGCTACTTTTGCTATTTATTTTTGTTATCTCTTCCACCTGCCTTGTGCCTTAAAATAAAATAAACCTACCAAGGAACAACATTTTTTTTGCCTTTTTTTTGTCGAGAAAAGCAAATTAATGAAACAGAAAAAAAAAAGTTATTTTAAATTTGTAGAAAAAGCAGTTCTTATAGTCTATTATGTACCTGTTGGATTTACAGAGATCTCACACTCTTGATCTGCTTCATATGACTTTGCAAATCTCTACAGAATTTCCTCTTTGGATTTTTGTTATTTGAACGTGCTGAAATTTTTATGAAAATCCACAAAAAAAATGTGAATAAATAGAAGGAAAAGGAAAATGCTTTATGCACATAAAAGTGGAGGATAAATGGAATAGTAAGGCATAAATCACTGTCAAATCATAGGTAGTTTAACTGTCTGTTATGTGGTGGATGTGTGTCTTGAAAAATGCATCAGGAAAGAGTGACTGACTGAGGTTTTTGGAATGAAAAATGATAGTAGTGTAAAAGGAACCTATTTTGTTTGCAAGGCTGGAAGTGAAGGGTCAAATTCATTACCTGGAATTTTCTTCGTCTTCATTTCGGTCAATTTCTATTTTTAGAACGCTCTAAGGACTAGGATTTAAAGCTGGAAATGCGCAAATTTTAAGATTGGTTGCCCAAAATGACCAAAAAGTCTCGGTGTGACTTACTTCGCTGGTCCTACAGATCAATTGTGATCCATAACCTGCCTTAGTCTTAAGACTAAATGAAGAAGCTTGCTAGTCTAAGGTGCTATCTGACACTAGTTTAAGCATGAATATCTCGATCAAACCCCTTATTTTTAAAAAAACTATCAAATAAATCAAATCAAACAAATTCATGCATTTTCCCCATTTTCCCAAAAATAAGAACTTAAAGAACCCACAAAAAAAAATTCCAAAACAAAAAATGTATCAGACATAAGAAATCAAAAGTCGAAAAGGCAGGAAACGACATGAAATAAAAAGGAGGGTCGGAAATGTTCCACTAAACACCCTCCCATGAAATTCGCTTTACATTCTACATTTCTTTCCACTCATTTCGCGGCATATGAAAATAAAAATATGCGTAAGTAAAGGAAAATGAAAAATAAATCAAGAATTTTTTAGCGCTACACTCATTTTCATTCACTATAGCTTGAGAAATGGAATAAGAAGAAGAAAACATTTATTTACGAGTTAATCTTTTGAGGAAAATCTAACAAGCAAAGCTTATTATTGCGATCAGAATATTCTCAGTGGATTAAAAGCGAGGATATTTTTAATTCTTCTGTATTTTGATATTTATTGCGAGATATTCAGCCGGAATTATATTCATAATGTCTTGGGATTCATAAATCTATGAAAAAAGAAGAGAAATTTGTTGAAATAATTGGTTGAAAGTAAATGAAATTGAGATTTTTTTGAGATTATTTATTGGTTATAATGTTAAGATGCTTAGGAACTTGCAGAATTATAAGTTATAAATGAATTATGAGCAATTAATTTCGGATATAAAAAATATTTGAATTTCTAAAATTGAAGCTAATTTACAAATTAAATTTGTTCCCTTTTTAATCTTCAAAGAGTTTATTGTCTTTTAAACTTTAAATGAAGCTTTAGTTATGCTTACTAGTTATACAACATTATTATCATCTTGAACAAGACTAATTTTGCAATAGATAAACTAATTGATATCCAAATATAAATCTAGAAATTTCTAAATTCACAAAATCTTCAAAAATTGTTCAAATATTTCGTAATCATCCTCAAAATGCCTTCAAACAGCTTCCAATTCAGCCCAATTCTTGCAGCACAGCCGATAAAATGCTAAAACACAAAAGTAAATAAATTTCCTCGACTCTTGTTCCAACTTAAATTGCGTTAAATTTTTAATACCGAATTACAAACATTTATTTCACTTCACCCAGTCTTCCACTCTATCAATTCAGCATTTCCTCTTATTCCATCCATTCTCATGCAAATGAAATTTATTGAAATAATGAAAGTGCCTCAGTTGCCTTCTTTATAGCTGTTGAAATCACTCTACCGAAAGAATTTTCGAGGATGAAAAATTTAAATTTAATAAGAGAAGATTACGCATCTCCATCTATTCTACGTACCTTCAGCATGTATCGATCTACATTCGCATTGTTATTTTACCATTTTTTGATACATTAAACCCCATATAAGTGAGTAATTGTATTTTCGAATGAAGTTAATTTATTACCTCAAATTTATTTCCATCTTTCCACCAACCTACATGCCATATCCAATACAAAAGGCATAAAGCCAACAAGCAGCTAACAGCGAAACAATAAAAAGAAGAAAGAAAGAAAAATTTAATTCAAGATTAAAAACAATAAATTAGATCGAAAAGCATATGAAAGTGGCTTATGTATCGTGCATGTGAGCAATTTGTGTTGAATTTTTTTTTCTCTCTTTCCATTCTTGTTTTATTGATCTTTATACTAGCTTTGTTTTGGGGCTATAATTGGTAGGGACTGAAGATATTGTGCATTTTGGGGTTGGGATGGATTGGTGTCTATTGATATGTTGATGTGTTGACGAACTAGCTTGGTTTCTAAGCTTAATAAGTTGGTCACTGCAACAGCTTCTGTAGTGTGTTGACTGACTTTGATTTCTGATATTTATGACCCAGTGATAGATACAATTTCTATTAGATCAGATCTTAGACAGATCAGCTTAGTCTTTAATTAATACTTTCTATACAATAATCCACAATATCTTTCCTTACTTCCAAATACCCCCACACTCTCAAGAATCCAATGCCTCACTGTTATTATTTTTATTATTACCGTTATTGTTCGTTAGAGATTCCTGCAATTGATGTGAGGATATAAATGATTTCAATGAAAAGATTTTTAATTGAACTTTTAATTCGTTTAAAATTTATTGCTTGCGATACTTCCACAACATACAATATAAAATTTATGCAAATTAAGGGAACAAAATGTAATCACATCTGTTTGATGCTGTAAAAGACAGTCGTGATTACTGAGGAAAGCGATTATATCGCTCAAATATTTTGAATGAACAATTTCAATATTTTATTAAATGTGAAACGTGATTCAATTTTCCTTCCTTAAAGATTTTTTTTTTATGTTCACCTTCCTCGTCCTACTTGCGATGACATTTAAATATCTTATCGTTACAGGAAGGTCGTGAGTAATTTTAGTTCTTGTCATTTTCTGCGCTGTCTCGATTGCAATAAATTGTAATTAAATTTGAAAGGAAACTTTAATTTCGTTTAAGAGTCTTTATGCTATATAATTATCTGATAAGTGCTTGAGACTCTTCATCTTTAAGCTTGAAATGTTACATTCTTAAAGTATTTTTTGGTAAAAGATGAAGAAATCTAGTTCTTTAGGTCATTAAATCCAATTTTCAATCATCACGCATTGACAAAATTGAATTGAGCACGATTTTTGCTGAAAATGGATTAAATCCGATGGTCTTAGGGGTTGTTAATAAATGACGTTCAACAGAGTGGGTGCTGATGGATCGAGTTATATGAAGATGAATCTGCCAGTACACGAGTAAGGTCTCTGTGGTCGAGTGGTTGATTAATAAAGTTGAAATATGTTACCCACTATTTGATTAGGGCTTGTGTTCGATTCCCATCATACTCTTATCTCTCAATCTGGACAAATTCTACGGAAGTTCGATACATTAATTAATGAGGATGTTGTAAGGTCGCTTTCTAGGGCTACCCGACACAAATTTGTTTGCTAAGGTCTGATAGGGCCTGAGTATAGCTGTATGGTAGTCTATAGATTTGAAGCTTTTTTTCCAAGCTTATAATTCTACCAGATATCACATATAAACAACTCCCTCATAGGATTCACTCAATCTATGTCCATTCGACTGAAATATTTCACGATAAAAAAAAAATCCCCAAAAAAAGGAACGCAATGAATACGAAAATAAGAAGAAGTTGAGCACAAAAACAAGAAAATCTACTTTTAGAAATAAAGAAATTGGAACTCGTTGTGATGGGGTAAGTACGTAAGCAAGCAAAGAAAAAAAAAGAAAATATAATGGCCCAAAGCGGAAAATCAAATAACAGTGAAATTGCATTAGCCGAAAGAAAAGGAAAGAAACTTCTCATTTTGTGAGCATCGAAATCAAATAAAATGTATTATATTTATTTATTTTCTGATTTTATTTCTACTTTATGATCATTGCTGGCCAATTCATTTCATTTTCATCTTCATCGCTTCTCATCTCGATGATAAAGGAGGATGAAATGTGGAAAATTTAGTTATTGAACATTTTCTCGTTGTTATTAATAAAATAAAAAAACTTTGTGTCCCTTGGCTTGAAATTTGGTAGAATTTCTCATTTACTATACTAAGTTTCGAAGTTTTTAAATTTTAAAAAATTCATAGCTTCATTCCTGCTCCTTAAAGCTATCCAGATTCTTCTAGATACGATCATATGTCACTTGTGTCACCAACACATCACGCAAATAAACAAAATCCCAAAATATTCATAAAAACCTGACAAAATTCACCACAAGAACCACTCGACATCCTACATCATCATTATAAGTTAGTAAAAAAAAAGTAGATAATGAGATTTGTATCAGATTTTCAACTTAATAAAACTCAATCTCTTCTTATATTTTTCATTTTTCCAGTCATGTCGGAAAATGTTTGCAGCAATTTTTATTTTTTCAATTTCTTTTCACATTATTTTCTCATATATCAGTTTCAAATTCGATTCCTCATCCATAAGAGTTTAATTTTACAGCAGTTTATGGTCCTTTTTGATTTCCTTGAACGCGATTGTAGTAAAGAGCATTTGCTTGAGTCATAGCTTGATAGCAATCGTTGGGGCATTGACCGGGAGTGCCAGGTGGGCTGTAATGAAGCATGAACAAGAAAAAGTTTTGATGTCTTGATTTTTGTGGTTCAACTTACCCTCTTGGACCAACTTCACCATTTCTACCAGGTTCTCCATTCACACCTAGGCAATTTTGATAATATTTTTATGTTAAAATACATTTTAAATGTGTCACGGTTTTGGAATATTCATAATTTACCTGCAGATCCTCTTGGACCCTGCTCTCCAATGCCAGGTGGGCCCTTAAATTTAAAATAAATATTTTTACAAATCATCAATATATTGACATTTTTTATTAAGATTTAAGTATGAACAAATGAAATAATACATACAGGAGGACCTTGTGATCCCTGAGGTCCTGGTCTGCCTTCTCCATCATCACCTTTGTCTCCTATAAATATTAAATAACGATGTTAAATCTTCGTACGATCCACGATCATGTATACATACCTTTTTCACCCCTTTCTCCACGTTCACCTTGATCACCTATAGATTTAGAAATTTACTGTATTAAAATTTCTTAAAAACTCAAGGGGGAAACAATATGATGGAAATGAGTTTTTTTGGAAATCGTCACCATTGTAAGGAGTCGTTTACTTATTAATCAACAGGATTATAAGGTAATAAAAGTGAACTGTCGATAAAAAATTTATTAAAAATCAAAATCATTTCCCCATCATGCTGTTGTCCCCTCTTTACAACTATTACATACCAGTATGTCCTTTCATTCCAGGTAAGCCTAATGAAGAGAAATTAATATTTAAAACTAATTACATTAATTTATTAATTTGAATTCATCACCTGGCATGCCTGGAACTCCTTGATAGCCTCTTTATGATGAATAAGAATTTTCAATTAAATTTAATTTCTTGAGAAAATGTGTATGATTGATTTTTTACCTGCCACCCTTTTCACCTCGTGATCCTAAAGATTGAATTTTTTATTAAAGACTAAATTCAAAGATATTGAAAAGATTTGATTATTACCCTCAGGTCCCGCGGGTCCTGGTTTTCCTGGTCTAAAAAATTAGCAAATAATTTGAATTTTGATAACTGATGAAAAATAAAATCTTACCTTCCTTGTTGTCCCTACAAATTAAATTTCAATTAATTAATTAAAATTCATATTTAAGTATTTGAAATCCAAATTTAACATACTGGAGCTCCTTGAGGTCCTTGTAAATTAGCAGTCAAATCAACTAACTGTTCGCGAAGAACATTGTAACAAATATCTCTAATTTCATCATCAGTCACACTTCTTCCTGGATTTCCATTCATTCCAGGCTCACCCTACATGAGTACATGAATTTTTAATTACCTTATCTTGATTTAATTGAGCATGAGTAATTAATGATTTTGGGATACTCGTAGTTTGAGCTCGAAGTCGAGTTGAGTCAACTCAAACTTTGAGCTTAGTCTAAAACTTTATAATAAACTTACAGGTGGTCCTCTTGGTCTGAAAAGTTAAAAATAAAGCATTATTAAAAATGAGTATGATAAAACTAATAATCCAAACTTACCCAGACGATCCCTGCTCTCCTTGAGGACCCCTTGCACCTCCAACAAGATATTGAATTCCACCACCACCTCCAGAATGAACAACTTCACCAGGTGGGCCTTAACATGTGCGATAATAATTAGAGTTTAACAATGTTTTGGAACTGTAATAAAATATCATTAATTTTACCTGGTGGTCCTCTTGATCCGACTTCACCTTTTTCTCCTTTCGGACCAGTTCCTCTAACTACAGTTCCACCTGAACCAGAGGATCCAGGGGCTCCAGGGGTTCCAGGAATGCCCTAAACATTCAACAAAATAAAAATTCATAATGGCATTTTATATTTTATTCAGAAAGTGTAAATTGTATGTTTTCAAGGCAGTGGTGACAAACTTTTGTAGCAAGGAACGCTATTTTTCTAAAGGATACTCAGATTTATCACGAAATGTTTTCATTGCAGAAATGTAATTTTCACTTGAAAGCTTGTCTACAACTGCCCTATGATGCACCCTAGTTCTGTAGTTCTCACTTGGAAAGCAAAATATGTAAAAAGGTTATAATTCATGTATTTTGTCGCAACCTAAAACGTTTGAGAAACACTGCCAAAGCCGGACGTTGTTATACTTAAACTTATATTCTCTTAAAACATTAAAGACAATTCAGAAACAAGTTCAAAACTTAAAGCCAGACTCACTTGAGGACCTCGATTTCCCATCTCTCCTTTCAATCCTGGCAGTCCATTGATTCCGTCTCTATTAAGTTATAAAATTTAACAAGAAAACTCATCAAAACATTCCTCAAATACCAATAAAAAAATTATTTCTCACCTTCCATCATAACCTCTCACACCTCTCTCTCCTCTCTCACCTTGACAGGTTTGAAAAGAAAAAAGAAAAATTGATGAAATCGAATTAAACTTTTTCACTTTGCACATTTATTACCCTTGGGTCCAGAACAATCCAGATAAGAAATAAATTGTCAATTCGATTGGTTTGTGAAAAAATACAAGGAACATGAAAAAGTAAAGAAGAACAATAAAAAAGTTTGAGGAAATAAAAAATCTTACACGTTCGCCCTGCATTTTTTAAAATAAAAACAAGCAGCAGCAGCCACAACAAAGAAGAATGGAAGAAGAAAAGAATATGAGAAAAATTGCAAAAGTGACAAAGTCGATTATCTCCTTAACCTTTGTTCCGTTGAATCCCTGTGGGCCTTGTGGACAAATTTGACAGGTATTTGGGGGTGGTCCCTCAACATATTCCGGTTCCGCTCCAGCACTATCATATCCCTGACATGAAAATAAATTGAGAAAATTGATGGAAATTTTTCATCTCAAACAACTTACAGGAATCTCATCACATGACTGACGTAATGCTCGATTCGGGTCACAAGTCATGGCAAGCCATTGGAGGTCGATCTAATAAATGAGAAAAAGTTAAGAGGCAAGTGGATATAATATCACATTTCATCCTTACAGGCGGTGCTGACTATAAAAATAGAAAACAAAGAAAAATTATTAATCAACATGAAGCTTCACATGACATAACATTTTACTTCATAATTCCTTTGATTGTCGACAATTTGTGCAATCGACAAATATCCATTGTTAATGTCATACTGTCCACGTTGTCGTAGAGGACTCTCCATTTGTCCATCAACACTCTTCACTGGCTTACAGTCAACCCACAATTTAGCACGATTGTCTGTCACGCCAAGCATAATTTTATGCCAACGATCGTCAAACAGCTGAAATGGAAAAATATTTATGGATTGCAGATGATAAAATAATGTAGAATGTGGAGGAACAATTAATCATAATTCTCATCCACATGTGTCTTTGAATGACAAAAAACATTAAACACAAGTCAAGTTGACATTTAAGAGAATCTTCATCTTGTTAGTGCTGTTATTAATCGCTTGGTGTGAATTATGGTGATGGGAGGAAGAGATGTGTAATGTCAAGTTTTGAGTATTTTTAAAGAGAATTGTTGTGGCTTGATAAGAAATATTGAGAATTTAATGGTAAACATTTACAAATTTGAAGCTGTTGTGATTATCACAGATTGATAAAATTTAAGTTAATTGTTTCTATTTTGATCCAGTTCCTCTACCCAGCACCATGTCAGAGTCACACAGGCTTGGTGCCAGATTTCTGATCAATTAACTGACTTGTGCTGTTCGGGTTAATTGTTCTTTATGCTTCTGGATGTACTGATACAGCTCAAAGTTGGCACGAGGCTAAACATCAAAAACTTTGGCGCACTTTACTAAATTGGTCTCCAAAATGTCACAGATTCTTACCCTGTCGGCGAGGTGTACAGCGAAAGATTTTAAGTAGAAAAATGTGCCGTGGAATAAAAAAGTCTAGACTTAACATTGCGTATACATTCGGGATCAATCCAAAAAAATCCAACAAATCCCAAAAAAAAATCCCAGCACTTCCCCTCATCAAAATGTGAATCCGACTTGAAATTCTCATTTATTCATCAACTAAAGGATGGATTTCAAATGGGATTCAAAGTTTTACAAGAAGTCGTCTTGAGTCTAACGGTTTGATTCTAGCTTCTAGCCCTTGACTTGCCATTCTCTTCTTTTTAAAACTTTAACTTGCAACATTAATTTAAAAGAACTTTAGAAAATTAAAATTGAATCACAAAAACCAATTATTTTTCATATTATTAAATATCAACAGCACTGAAACTCAATAAAACTTTTCATCTTCTTGCTTCTTCTCTTTCTTCTTATAGCCTCCTCACATCCTCACTCAGAGTAAGAATAAATCCTGTTGAGGGTACTGGGAAGAAGCAAAAAATCTCAGAAAATTTTTTCACAAACAATCAAACAATTTTCTTTAACTGTGAGAAAATAAAATTCTCGAAAAAACTTTGAACAAACAGAGGAATAAGGAAGAATTGTGAGAAGTAACAAATAGCATGAAAACTTTTATAATTTAGTTTAAAATCACTTTAAAAAAGTTTTGCTGTTTGCTGCTTCTCGCTATTTGTTGCTGTTAAGTGTTCATCATGAATTAATTTTTCAGTTTTTTACAGAACAAAAGATAAGGAAGATTGAGTTTGGATGGTTGGGTGGCTTTTATAGTGCGTTTTTTGTACATGGGGAAAACATCATGATGAGAAAAGATTTGGAGAGAAATTTTCTTTATTCCCTAAACTCAAATTTTATTGTGCCAGAATTTCAGTGGATTTTTCCAGATTTTAAGCGAATATTTTCAAACTCTTTTGGATCAGGTTTTCTAACCTCAAATTAATCCTTTAATTTTTCAATAAAACCACAAAATTTTTCTCTCTCCAAGAAACGCGCTCACAAAATTTTCACATTTCAATTCACTTCCCTCACTTATTCCTCATCTATTCATCACCAGCAAAAAAATAAAAATTTAAGCACCCATAAAAACTCTCTTCTTTATATCCACTTACACTCGAATGACGAAATTCAACAGTTTGCAGTTCACCATCAGAAGCAGGCAATGAAACAGCCAATGTTTGACGACCAGGATTCATTGTGACGGTCAATTGCGATTCTTGATATTGATTAGTCAGATGAAACATATGCCATGAATTCGCCTGTTGCTGTCGCTGTCGATAAGTACACTCGAATGAGAATTGAAACGGAGTTCCCCTAGGAAATGCTTCTTGTGCTAACATCGTCAAGTTGCTTTCACGTTCGACGCGATATGCTGTCTGATAGTCATTGCTACCGACAATTTGCGATATTGTCTCATGATGCATCTCGTAATTATCCAATTGAAAGTCTCGGATGATATCCCATGTTCCCAAGTCTGCATCGTGACTATCAACTCGCCATTGCCCGCAGGGATCATTTATATTCACATAATTTTGCTCTGGAAATTTTTTAATTTTTTTTTGTGCTTGTTGTAAGTGAATTTTCTCACGAGAAGTAAGCGAGAATTAAAGTTTTGTAGGGTGTCTAGATGCTTTTTTTTTGTGGATATTGTTTTGAAGTTCTGGCTTAGAATTTATTGGGTTTAGATTGCAAGGATTTAGCAAAGGAGAGGCATTCAACCCTAGAGATTTAAAAATATCAGCTAATTCCCTAAAGTCTTGACTATAGTTTTGCTTATCCACTAAAAGATTAAAATCTTTTGAGTTTTGTCAAATCTTAACCTGATCAGTGCCTGTGATAAATGCAGATTAGCTACAAATTTAAAAGTCTCGAAGAATTCTGAGCCATATTTGTTTGTCAATTGATTCTATCTATTACCCAGCATCTTCTGTGGACAGATTCGTCTTTAAAGACCAGAGTCAATTCCTTGTGTTAACACTTCTAAGCAGATCAGTAAAATTGACTTCAAATGCCATAATACTCCAAAATCCACAAAAGACACAACCAGAAAAAAGTCCTCTGGACACCCCACCAAACATAAAAAATGCGAAATGATGCTTACGTCCAGTAGAAATATTAACAAGCACTACTAAGAGAATTAGCAACTCAATTTCCATGATTTTTCTCATTTTCATCTCTTCAACAAGTTTTTTTTTCACAATTTTCTTTTCAATTCTTTTTTATCTGCTGCTCTTCACAACTTTTTATTCATTCACATCTTTTTTTTATTCCTGCACATTCAGTTCACAATTTCAAAAGGATATAAGCTGCTTTAAAAATGTTTTTTAAAATTCTATCGAATAGAGACTGAAGTGGACAGCACGAAAACTACACGACAATTGAGATGCTTTTTAAAGAGATTAGCGTTCTAATAACCAAAAATATTTTCAATGCTAAATGGCTGTCTGTTAAACACATTCATGGAGAATTTTTTTTAAAGAAAAATCAGCATTGAATCAAGCATATGATGTAGGGAGAGAAAGAGACATACATGGCATTATACAATGTCGACACATTTTAAATAGGAGAGAAGATTATGATTTATTTATCAGAATGGAAATGTGAAAACCATATGTTGGCAAAAAAAAATAATATAAAGAGTAATGGAATATTTTTTGGTGAGGAATAAAAATAGATTTATGGTGCGAAAGTGCTAGTGTGATGGTATGGTCATGCATTTTGTTTATAGCAATTTCAATTTTTAAGAAATCGAGTAATTTAATGATAAGTAATTTAAAAAATGTCAATTGAGCTAGTTCATTACAAAGCTAGAACTCTTAAGCCAATGTTAGGACCCTCTTGCATCGTCGTCAACTCATCAATGTTGTTGATATGTAAGCTTAAAATGTGATAAAAATATCATGTATATATGGGGCCGTTCACTTATGACGTCCATAAAAAAAACAATTTTTAACCCCCCCCCCCCTCTGTCACAGATGTCAATACCCCCCCCCCCCCCCCTTGTGCGGTCCAATCATAGACACAGAGAAAATTAAATGCCACAAATTTTCCGAACCCCCTTCCTTCCCTGTAATAATGTATCACAAATTTTTAAAACCCCCCTCCCTAAATGCTGAACGTCATAAGGGGCTGTTCACTTATTACGGAACGCTTTTAAGGGGGAGGAAGGTCCAAGATTTTGTTACGGTTCATACTCATTTTGTTACGAGGTGGAGAGAGGGGTCTAAAAAGTCGTTTTTTCGCGTTACGTAATAAGTGAACGGTCCCTAATCGAACGGCCCCTATTTAAATTCCCAAACTTTAATTCAAATAATCTCAAATGTTATTTTTAAAAATTAATTGCTCAAAATTCATTTGTTCGATGAATGAATAAGGACAGATTATCATCAAAAATTCTTCATCACAGCACAGCACCAAAAAAATTATAATGGTGAATATTTGTCTTCTATTTTATTTAATATTTTTATAAATTTATATCAGATGGGAACATCATCCACTGTGTGTATGCAAAAAAATTATTATAAAAATTTCATGATGTGAATTGAGCGATCTGTGCCTGTGTCAGACACTCTTTTTCATGCAACATGTTGCTCGATTTTTGTATTCGTTCAGATGCTGAAAAATTTATGATGCTGACCTACATAATTGATATCCATGTTAAATGTGAATATAAGCAGTGTGAAGATTTTCAGCTTAGTCTTATTAATTTTTGATGATTTGAATTGGTAATTGGATATTGGATAGTATTGAGCATGAAGACTGAGACTTGCTATGAATCAGTATTTTGTAAGATGCTTTGGACTAGCAAGATTGTTAGATTTTCAACTAAAGACTGAATTTTAATGATTTAATATTTTCAAACAGTATTGACAAGCATTTAGAGACTATGTGCATGGCAAGAGATCTATAGGAAGACCAAAGAATACCTGGATAGCATGTGTTGATAAGGACCTTAATATCTCGAGCTGACAAAAGGTTTCCAAGAATAGAGCTGTCTTTAGACGATCTCTGAACGCGACAATGGTCCCACGTGAGCCCCAATCAAAGAAGTAAGTAAGTATTGACAGGCATCGATCATAGACTGTAACCAAAAATAGACCATGTTGAAGTCTTTTTCTAAAATGATTTCTTTTTGTGGTGATTCCCCTAAAATTTCTCAAGATTTTGATTCATAAAACAAGTTATGCATGAATTCAACACATCCACGAATCTCTCGTCATAACATAGAAATTAAGAAGCCAAAAATCAGGTTCCAAAGGTTTAACAAGTCCGAAGAAAAGAATCACCGAGAATTCCCCATCGTAATGATGACCAAATTCTGCGTATTGACTCACTCGTTAAACAACAAATCTTTTTTAAAAACCGGAATAAATACATTTGTGAGAACAACTGTGTCTTTAAAGTATAAATAAACACAACGCTTAGTAGTTTGCTGATGTGCTAAGTAGAATGTTGCTTTAGTGCTAAGTATTCATTGTTATTGATCGAATCTCGAGTTGAATTTTGGTTTAAATTTAAAGTTATTTTAAAGTTTTGTGATCACTTAAAGTTTGCATCTAGTGCCAAATCCATCTTATGATTAAACTTTCAATAAATGCACAAAAAATGTCACTTAAATCCTCAATATTAGCTTCAATTTCTCTAATCATCCTCACATCAATCACAATTAGCAATGCAGGAAGTGTTTCATACTTAAATGGACTAGAAGAAGATGACATATGTGAATTAAGCACTGGATCTTTAGGAGAATGCCGCAAAATTTCAGATTGCATTGATGAGTTTGAGAATTTCCGAAGTAGAAGATTAAATATATTGACAATATGTAAATATGAGAAGAAGCACTACGACACGTTAATTTGTTGTCCGGAGCAATATCAAAACAGAGTGTCAATTACCACCTCAAATATTACTGAAAGAAATAAGAATGGAGATATTTTTGACTATGAAACTTGTCAACTTAAATTGCTAAAATATCGAGAAAATTCAATCAATCCAGAATATTATGCAAATGCTGTACGTCGTGGAATCATTCCAAATAATGTTGAGAATTGTAATAAATTAGATAAACTCTATAAAACTGCTCGTAAGTTAAATTGTTCTTACATTTTCACAACTTGACTTTAATGCTCTTGATATTCCAGAATCACAAGATTTTGCAGTGAGCAATAACAAATTTCAGTGTCCGAAAGATTTCTTGATTCCTCCTTATAATCGAGATGTGTACGAACCAACTATTATCAAAGGTGATCGACCAAATATGGTAGCTATTGGATGGACACAAAAGGATAAGTCGTTGATTTACAGATGTGCTGGATCTATTGTCACTGAAAAGTTCATTGTTACAGCTGCACATTGTAGATATTTTGATAGGTAAGTTGATATAGGATGTAATGTAGGTTTCTCTGGTATTGACTAAGTATTTGAAGCAAAGTTTGTGTAGATTCCAGTAGAATCTAAGGAACTATTGCTTGTTGTACCAAAAAAAAATTAATCCTCTTATATCATTTCTATCCTGAACTCTCAACTGACAATTGTTTATATTAATAAATTCTTAGAATTCAAGCTGATTCCGTTCGTGTTGGAGATCGTTATCTTGTCACTCAACTCGATGATGAGAATGCACAAGTTCTTCAAATTGAAAACTTTGTTTCACATCCAAATTATGACTCACGTTACCTTTACAATGACATTGGATTGATCAAAACTTTTGGAGAAATTGTGTTTAGTCGGTGGGTGACTCCAGCTTGCATAGCTGATTTGGATCAAAGTAAAGAATCGGGAAGCTTTTATTCTTGGACTGTTGCTGGATATGGACAAGTGAGTTTAACGTTTATCAATTTAATCAATCGAAATTTCAATAACTCTTATTCTTTTTAGACAGAAGATAAAGTTCCTTCAAATACTTTATTGGAAGTGATAGTCAATAAGCTTCCAAAAGAGGATTGTGACAGCTTCTATGCTTCTAGTCCATATTTGCCTAATGGCATTCATGAAAGTCAAATTTGTGTTAAAAGTCTTGCTAGCAACTTTGAAAAAGAGACATTTTATCCAAATACTTGGTAATTTAATTGCCAAGGGGGTAACAGCATGATGAGAAAAAAACGCTGATTGGAGAATTTAATTGATAAATTGAGAATCAGAATAACTTTCTAGTTTTTTTTAATTATAAAACCTTTTTCCATCATGTTGTTTTCCCCTTGCGCTTAATCACGTTCATTGACTTTTTGATAACATATTTTACAATTCTAGCTATGGCGACTCCGGAAGTCCACTACAATACAGAGATATTTATGAGACATTCCCAGATAATTTCAACAAAACTTTGATTTCTGATATCTATAAGCTGTATACCTTGTTAGGTGTAGTATCTCTTGGAAATGGAGAATGCAGCTTCAACCGTCCATCAATTTATACAAATGTTTATTATTATCGTGATTGGATAAGAAAAGTTATGAATAAAAATTAAATGATTTTTCAAAATATTGCAGATATAGAATCTTTCTAGATTCAATCGAGAACTTTAAATCTGAATTGTCTCTAGTTAATAATTTGATTAGATTCTACTCAACAAGTTAATTAAATAAATTATTTATTTGTCTTAAAACTTCAAACTACAAAATAAAATTTATTTTACATATTTAAATGTTGAACACACCCGAATAGCACAAGTCGGTCAGAAATCTCAGAGATCGAAGCCGATTTTTTCGGCTTAACTCAATTTTTGATTTTTTTTGATAGAAAAAAGCCATTTGACACCCATTTCAAGTATTTAAATTGAACTTTACATGCTTTACTATGATTCTGTGTAATATTTTGCCAGCATGTAGCTATAGGAAGCTCAGAATTTCAAGTTAAAGAATGTTAAGCCGAAATTTAAGCCGATCGGCTTAAAATCGGCTAAATTGAAATTCTGAGCTCACTATAGCTACATGCTGACAAAATATTACACAGAATCATAGTAAAGCATGTAAAGTTCAATTTAAATACTTGAAATGGGTGTCAAATGGCTTTTTTCTATCAAAAAAATCAAAAATTGAGTTAAGCCGAAAAAATCGGCTTGATCCCTGAGAAATCTGATACCAAGCCAGTGTGATTCTGGCATGGTGCTGGATTTAAATCGAAGCTCACCATGCCAGAGTCATACCGACTGGATACTAGATTTCTATTCAATTTACCGACTTGTGCTATTCGTGAAATTGCGGGAAATCGTAAACTTAGCAGCTTAGCAAAGGCAGCATCATGACTATCAGTAAACTAAGTAGACCCCCAATAATATCCAAATTGATTAAAGCTTAAACAAAAATTCATTAAGTTTTAAGACAGTAAGAACTACAAATGCTATCAACAGCAATCCCAGAAGATACTTCATAGACCTTAGCCTGCAAATAAAAAAACTTCAAATTAAACCAAAAATTTCTAAGCAGCATTTTTCTCTTTTCCATACTTAACAAGTTTCTTCTTCCCCTTCACTGAGTCGAGATTGTGTTCCTTCAAAATGAATTTCCTGATTCCAAAATAGAAGTCATGATGATAACTTTTCCAGTCCATTGATCTCAAATCGAAATAAAATTCTTCGTTTGGTGAATCTTCCATCGAGTTCAATAACTCCTCACATTTATCGGATTTGAATTTAAATGGAAGTGTGGCGACAAAGTTTGCGGCATCGAATATTTTTTTGTGTGTTGTGTAGAACTTAACAGCTCTGCAAAGTGAATCAGATAAGATTTAGAAAGTAGGTTTTATATGCAAAACTTACAATGTCTTTCCTCCTGATAGTTTCTGATAAAAATCAGTTAAGTATGCTGGTATCAAATGTGTAAAGAACTGATCTACTTCGTATGCCCATTTTGACTCATAACATCTCATTTCGGGATACCAGACAACCTTAGCTTTATTGGTTAAAATTAAATTTTTTGGAAATTTTCAACAGAAATTAAACTAGAATCAGCTGATTATATGCTGATGATAATTCAGCAGTCACTAAGAACTAACCTGATGGATATGTCTTTCCAATGTTTACACTTAGCTCAGCAAAGCTTTCAAAAGTTATTGGATGTGCATCACCAGATACGCTGTTATAGACCTTTATAGGAGAATCATCACAAAAAGTTGTTTTTTCTCTTGTAACAGTCCATGATGCGGCGATGATCGTGTTTACAACCTAACAAGGTCAAATGCAAATTAATCAAGTTCAAGAAAAGATATGGGCAGATATTAAGGTAAAAAAGCAAATATAAAAGATTAAGATTAAATATGAAAAATTAAGAAAAATGGTGAATTTCAAGGTTTTTTGCTTTTGAAGGTCCATTGTGGAGTTTTTGACAATCTAATGAAAGAATTCTTCTGCCTTGAGTTTGAGAAAGTTGTATTGAATTGAATTGAAGTTTCATTGATCTATTGAATCTAATTTTTCATAGAACAAATTCAAATGCATTCAAATACAAACTACATCATTAAATTTTTAAAGAAGCATTAATAGAATCATTCCCAAAAACCTGTTTTACCATATCAGCTGGAACTACATCACACAGAGCATCTTTGGCAAAATAACCGGAACAAAACATTCCTCTTGCAACAGCATCTACGAATGGTGTAATTGCCTGAAAATTTCACGGAAAAAGTTTCAATTTGGATCAATATCAGTTAACCGTTAAGAGCATTTTGGATTGACTTAAATTTTCAACCAGGGTTGCGATCAGGCACCTGTGCATAGGTGGGAACCATACAATTCCTTGATAATTCATAATGTTTTTCTAACAAAACCATGCAAATTGTAGTAAAACCTTACAAATTATCAATAAATTGTACGTTTCTCACCTGTTCACAGGTGCCTGTATTGCAACTCTGTTTTCAACTTAGCAAGATTAAGTAATTCCTTACAGTATAACTATCGGTCCACCCAACTTTTGGTTCAGACACACAGGCACCAACTGAATTTTTAAGAGAATATTTTAATTCATAAATTGATCCTTTATTTTGCCTACTCACTAATTGATGGACGAACGATGGCAATCGGTAAATCTTTGGCATCTTTTGTAATTAAAATTTCAGCCAATGCTTTAGCAAAGACATAAGTATTTTGATGATTTTTTAGCAGTGTTGTTGTAAACTGGAAGTTAAGATTTGGTTTTAGATCTTATAAAGATTTAATGCAACTTTTTGGTCTGCTACAATTGTCTCACCTCTTTTAAAACTTCATCTGGAAAATTTTCACATAAGTGGATGACAGCATGAGGATCAATATCAATTGGATGAATTTGTTCCTTGATTTCTGGCAATATTAAGTTACAATATGCAGTTGAGGTGTGAATCATCGACTGAAAAATTTAACAAGACATCCAAACTTAGAAATTTCACTTCAAACACTTCAAAAATAAGTCAACATCAATTTTTATATCCACTTAAACACTTTGTCCAGCAACCAAACCAACTTGCTGAAACCTAATTGCAGTTAACATTCTGACTTTTCAAATTAAATATGTTTTTATCACCAAAATTCACCTTCAAGTTCTTCATTTGATGAGCCAATTTGATCAGCTCCCTCAATGATCTCAAATTTGTTAGCACAGCCTTTTTTAACGAATCATTTAAAGCCACAGAAGCGGCTGTATGAATCACTACTGACACTTTTTCAAATAAAACTTCTTGTTCAGCCTTTGAAATTCCCAGTTCCAGACATGAAACATCTCCTTCAATTAAAACAATTTTTTTCAATGCTTCTGGATTTTTTTCACGAATCAAGTCAAAGGCTGGTGAATTCACAACTTTCAAGTGTCTATCTTTAATATTTTTATTATGTCTTGACCGAATTAGGAAGTAAATATTTTCAATTCCTGGACAGGATCTTAAAAGCTTTTCAACAACTAATTTTCCCAAGAATCCAGTTCCACCAGTAACAAAAACACTTCGTCCATTATAAAAATCACTTATTGATGGTCTATTTATATCCTGCAATACCATTTTTGGGCCTATTAAGTTGCACAATCACTTCCGAATTCTGAACTCAAACTGAAAATATTTCATAATATTGTCACTGCTTTTATAGATTTAAGATTAATCTGATGCTGATTATTACAAAATCTTGTAAAACTAGACGATCTTTTTGATATTTAAACTTGAAATGATAAAACCGGAAACCTTTTTACAGATCAATATCCACGTGACGATACCTAAAATGTAACTTATGTGTGATTTAATTTCTTCTTTTCTGCTCATTTTCGTCTGTTGAACCTGCCAAAATCAAGTTTTTCATCTTTGTAAAAATTAAGCATGAGAGTTGCTAGACATTTTCGTACACGTGAAGATCAACTGACTATTGATGGCTTTAGACTTGGTTTTATTTTTAGCATAAAATGTTAATAACATTAATCATATTAATATGTTTGTGAATAATATTCTTGTTATTTTGGTTCCAACTAAGCAGTTTGAGGTCATTTTCATTTGATGAAAATTGAGATATTTAAGAAAGTCTCTCAATTTTTTAAGGTGCCGAAAATAAAATTCAAATTAAACTTTGTCTTTCGAATACTTAATTTGTGATTTTTTCTCATTCACTTTTCAAAGCATTTAAAATCAAAAAAGGTAACAAAAATCCTCTCATGTGAATTGCAGTTCTCAAAAATTCGAGTAAAAATTATTCAGAATAAATTGGAAAAAATAAGAAAGTTTCCAGTTTGTTAGGTAAAACTTATCTTATTTAAGAATTTCTTTTCTCATTCTTTTTTGCTCTTTCAGATATTCAATAAGTCTCATCATGTAAGTTTTAGGATGGAGAAGTAAGAAATATACGAGGAATTCGATGTTTGAGACGCTTATACTGGATGAGACTAGTCAGATATAGTCCCAGGTGACACAGCACTGCTTTTGACAGAGATTTAAAAGCCATTTGGACTTGGAGGTTAAGTAAGATGCTGTTTGGATTTCATGTCGATTTTTTTCCCTACTATTTGTCACTTGGTGGTCAAAAGTGAGCCAAAATAGTTAAGTGTTACATTTTTAAAGTTTCAAAGCCTGTAACAACCAGCATGTAAATCCCAGGCTCGGAAACTAGGCTGCATACCCCCAACTTCGATACAAATACCGCTAAATCCCCCCAAATACCGCCTAGTTTCTGAGCCTGGTGTAAATCAAGTGTTCGAAACTTAAAAACACAAATTGCTGCTTATTTAAATCAAAGATAATGGAAACTCAACCATAAACCACCTATAACGGTTAGTAATAGCAAACTAGCTGAAATTTAAACCTACAAACACTTAGAAACCAAGCACATATCATTATGCAAGCAGAATACAACACTCTGTTGCCAAACTACTCAACATCAAAGGCTTTACTCTTGCAATGGCAAGTTCGCTTGCATACTGTTTGATACAGCACATTCCAAGCTCCTCCAAAAACACACCATAAAGTCAAAATAAAACGAAACTTTCAATTCTTATCCTACAACGCCCTACTAAATGAAAGAAAAATTGAATTGCTTTCTTCATGCTGTAGTTTCAACTACTTGAACATTATTGTCAATATATTTTTCTTCTCCTTCTTTTTCGTCATTTCTGACTCTAATAAAGCATGAATTTTCACAACTTTTATTTCTCATATCTATCTCGTTTACCTAGATTTTTTACATGCTCAACTTTTATCATGTCTCATAGGGGACATAAGAGGGTTTCAATGATGATAAGTCACTTACCATGAATAGAAGAAAAATTGATGTGCTGATGGTTGTTTGTGACTTTTTATCCATCGTTCCTTAACAACTTTTTTTTTCGTCGTCAATTGCAAAAATAAAGTTTTTCGATTTCTTCCAATTTGTGAATCTCTCAAGAGAATTTTAACCTTTTTTCTTTCGTTCTTACATGTGTACCTACTTCACCTTTATGTCTTCCGATTACATCAATGCATCAAGAAGTTATCATCAAACAAATAGAAAATAAATATTCACACTATTACCTCTTGACTTGACTGAAATTGAATTTTTCTTTTCTCTGTGTTGGAAAAGTTGGAAATTTTCTTCGTTTTGTAACTTTGACATCATCACTGTCGTGATTCATGCTGAATAGATGTGCAAATTGAAAAGAAAGGAGGAAGAAGAACGAAAGTAAGTGATGAAGAAGTTTTTTATGCAGTTTTTAAAAGTTGAGATGAAATTTAATTTGTGAGCAGCCTTTTCAGTAGCTTTATGATTTTCCTTTACCTATTCAGACGATTGAGGATGCGCCAACCACTGCACTCAAACCTAGACCTACAATTTGTAGTGGGATCTAAACCACTTCTTTGATGACATTTCTGTCTGTAGCCTACAAAGGAAGGCTGTGAGCCTCATTTCCAATACATATGATTCGAAAAAGGACAAGTGAAAAATTTCTTATACCCAGTCTCGAACCCATTAACGCTGTGTCGGTATTTCAATAATTAGGTACCGAAGTACTAAACCATTCCACCACCGAGCCACTTCAGTTCACAGCTTTATGATAAACTGGTGCAAATTCAGTTCAATTCGAAACAATCACAAGCTTACAATGATGATCAATATCAAAAGTCGTCCCTTAAATGAGACTTTGCAAGTGAAAATGAGACTAACAATTTTTTTAGTTTTGGCTTAATAAAACCAAGAATCCGCATAAAAACTATGACGTATTATATATTTTCGGAAAGCTCTTGATTTCAGCTACATGAATTTTTAAAACAAACTTAATTATATTAACAAGGGTTGGAATCCTAGGGGTTTTAAACTGTTGATCTACATACAATTTGGTACGTCACACTGTGCCCTGTTCCTTAAAGGAAACAACTATATATTAAGTGAATTGGATTAACAAAACAACATATTAATAGACAACAGAGAGATTTTTTCGTTATCTTTCCTTGATTTTTTTTTATGAGTTATCAAACCTTGGTGATTTTTCTATATGATTTTTTTTAAAAATGCTCTAGCTCATCCAAATTTTCAAGTATTTTAATTATTTAAACGCCGTTTATCTTATTTTTTATTTAACTATATCTTGACGCTCAGAAAAAATTTAAGGGTTGGACACTTTGTCAAAATAAAAAACCAACCCTTGTATTTTTTATTATTTTTTATGTTTAAACTATTAAAATTAAGAACTGTAAATTTATAAATAAGTTAAAATCATTATTTAATTAAAATAACTTTGTATTTTATCAAATCAACCCTCAATAAAACTGAAAAATTATAAAAATTTTTTTTAAATATTTTGATAAATTCATTACCTTACTATAATTAAATTTTGAATTATTAATATAATAACATGAATGGAACAAAAATATTTTTTACAAAAATTAAAATTTAACGTTAAATACAAATTTAATGTAATGCAAACAAATTGTTTTTAATTTTTCCGTTTTATTGAGGGTTGATTTGATAAAACACAAATTTATTTTAATTAAATAATGATTTTAACTTATTTATAAGTTTACAGTTCTTAGTTTTAATAGTTTAAATATAAAAAATCCAAGGGTTGGTTTTTTATTTTGACAAAGTGTCCAACCCTTGGATTTTTTCTGAGCGTCAAGATATAGTTAAATAAAAAATAAGATAAACGGCGTTTAAATAATTAAAATACTTGAAAATTTGGATGAGCTAGAGCATTTTTAAAAAAAATCATATAGAAAAATCACCAAGGTTTGATAACTCATAAAAAAAAATCAAGGAAAGATAACGAAAAAATCTCTCTGTTGTCTATTAATATGTTGTTTTGTTAATCCAATTCACTTAATATATAGTTGTTTCCTTTAAGGAACAGGGCACAGTGTGACGTACCAAATTGTATGTAGATCAACAGTTTAAAACCCCTAGGATTCCAACCCTTGTTAATATAATTAAGTTTGTTTTAAAAATTCATGTAGCTGAAATCAAGAGCTTTCCGAAAATATATAATACGTCATAGTTTTTATGCGGATTCTTGGTTTTATTAAGCCAAAACTAAAAAAATTGTTAGTCTCATTTTCACTTGCAAAGTCTCAAATCAAGTTTACATCAATTTTCCTACTCAATAACATGACTAAGAACCGTCATTCTCAATTTTTTACCAAAATCTTCAAATTTTGCTTTACATCCCGCACTCAAATCCCATCGTATCAACCTCTTTTTGACACTTAACCTTTCCACTTACAATCCCCATCAACATAAACAATTTATTCACCAGAAAATGAATTACAGCATGAAAACAACAATCTCATAAATTTTAATAGCAAACCGCTTAAAAGCGCATTAGAGCTTGAAAGGAAAAACACAAACAATTTCTTTTGATGAAATTGAATTTACCATTACTCAATTTCACGCTTTTTAGAAATCATTTTTCACGATTCTTTAAGAAACAGAAAGAAAGTAAAAAGATGAAAAGGCTTTTTTTTTCATGCCACACTAAAAGCGTGAAAAAAGGGAAATTTGAAAGAAACTCGATTTCCTTTGTTCTTTTTTGCCTTCAAATGAAATGGAAACAAACGAGTCTTGGGGATAAAGGAATTACTCTGAGGGAAATTTATCTGTTGAAATTTACATGGGAATTGTCTTTAGGATTCTCAAATACGCGTTTAATACTGTATGTCTCAATGGAATGTGCATATATCCACACGAGACATCAATGGATATAAAAAATCGAATATATATTTTTTTGTCATGAACAACCGAGGAGGGGCCAATTTGTTTAAATTTATTTGAAGGGATTTTGTGTCTTTTTTATTGAACTGAATTTTATTGGGAGTTGTGGAGTTAAACTTAATGGCATTTTGTCACCGCTTCAAGCAAATTAAACATGGCTTGATACTTTTCAGGCTCGTTTTAGTAAAGTTTAATCAGGAAGGTTATCTTTTAGCTCTTTTTACGATTATTCCTGATATAAATGAGTCTTGAACCAGAATCTTGATAAACTGTTTCCTAGAACTACACAATAAATTTGCAAAGATAAAGAAATGGGAGGATTCGAACTTCGAGTTACAACACA